AAAGAGGATACTGTAAAGACAAGGGGTTGCTGAAGCCCAAAATGGGGTTAGGATGTAATGAAGAAGAGACAGTTGTGGTCCCCTTGCCAAGACACTCTCCAGCCCCTGGTTTCTCCCTGATCTGTTTTCAACACCCACCGACACACTTCCCACCACCTCACCAAGGGCATATAGCGACAGGACAAGGGGGAATGGGTTCAAGCTGGAAGAGGGTAGATCTAGGTTAGACATTAGGAAGAAATTATTTACTGTGAGGGTGGTGAGACACTGGAACAGGTTGCCCAGGGAAGCTGTGGCTGCCCTCTCCCTAGCAGTGTTCAAGGCCAGGTTGGATGGGGCTTGGAGAAAAATGGTCTAGTGGGAGGTGTCCCTGCCCACGCAGGGGGGTTTGAACTAGATGATTTTAAGGTCCCTTCCAACCCAAACCATCCTGTGATTCTTGCTCAGGTTCTGTAAAACCCACCCCTGCCAACCTCACAGTGACACAGTGCTCTGGCCCCTCCATTTGTGCCAGGATGGATTTTGATGTTGCAAACCAAGTGACTCACCCAAGCTCACAGGCGAGAGCCATCGGTAGGTGCCGGGCAGAGCCCCTCGTGCCCAGGCTGCTGCCCCTGCCACCACCTGCTGCCCTCCTGGTGGCACAGAGCAGTCCCCATCACACAGGCTTCTCCTGGGCTGCAGGGCTGCTGGGTCCTCAGCACTTTGCGTGGTCATGGAGGAGAGCTAGATGTGAGCTGGACATCCACACCCTGACAGCCCCGCGCAGAATGAAGCCCCTCTGTTCTGCACCTGACATGTACAGCTCTTAAAGTCTCAAACCAAAAATATGTGGGGATTTTTAAATCCACTTCTGTGTTCTCCTTTCAAATGTGCTTGTGCAGCTGTGGCTTGGTTTTGCACCAGCAGAGAGGAAGAGGAATCCTCCATTATTATATATTCTGCTACACAGTGCATGGAAATTGGGATCATTTGCTTCATTGTGAAGGGCTCAGATACCCCCTTGAATTAGGGTGGCTCAGGAGGTTACCACTGGTGAGCTGAGCCATAGTAACTACCTGTGCATCCTCTCCCTTCACAACATCATCTCTCCACTGTGTAAGGGCTCATATCCAGCCCATTTCTAATGGTTTGAGTGGTCCAGGTGACCACTCTGCACAAACCTGAAGCCATCTACTCCTTGCTGGGCCAGGCAATGGCTGAATTTATGTCACCAAGTGGATGTTTATAGGGGTGGATGTCACTCAGCTGCACGCAGAGAGCAGATTTACAGCAAAAAGGCTTTTAACAACACATCTAGGCACATCCATACTATTTCAAAACTATTAAAAAGAAGCTATAGTTTTCAAAAAGCTGTTCTAAAAGGGAAAAGGAGCAGTTAGATCTTTGTGCCCTCCTTCCCTGAGAAAGACCTTCAGGGTTATGTTTTCCTACATCTCATGATCATGCTGTAGCTGTGCCATTCTCAATGGTGTAAAAGCAGGAGTAGAGTCCTTAGATTTTGACAGTCCTGATCTAGGGTTAAAAGTCCAATTCTCCACTTTTAGTTATTTTGGGCAGGACACTAGCAAAACAGTGATCCCACCTAACTTTCCCTGCAGCTGTGGTTGCCGACCCAGCTGGTCAGACTTCATTCTCCCTTTATTTCCATCTGATTTAGCCCCACACAGCTCCGTTTGCTGCTGCGTTCCATCAGTCAGGTGAGCACCTGCCTGCCCGGGATTGTCACGCAGTGTTTCCATCTGGGTGTCAACTTCTGCAAACAGGCCAAGGCTTTCCCTCTGCACATGGCTTTGGGGGTCTCTGCCATGCCATGGACACTAGAGATCATGCAGCAAAATGCTGGGTCAGCCCTCGCGTGTAGTCGCTGCCGCTGTCGCCATCCTGCTCCCTGCTGCCTCTGGTTCCTCACTGCCCCATCCCAGGCTGCAGCAGGAGGTTGGCTGGGATTGTGCAATCGGGGTTACTAAATCAGGGAAGGAAAAAAAGAAAAGAAACTACTGACTCAGTGCAGTCTCTCTCGGTTGAAGGTTTGCTGAAATAAATTATTAATAGAATAGCAGCTTCCAGCATATTTTGGGACATGCCTGCCGGGATATCAGCCTCACCTTCCAGACTCCCTTCTAGGAAGCCTTGGCCCCTCTCCCTCCTGCTGCTCAACCTCTCTCCCATGAAATGCTCTGCTGACATCTTGGGGAAGAGTCTGAAGTCGCCTGGCTCATCCCTTTTAAAATCTGTAGCTCATGCTGGGCAGAAAGTGTTCCTCATGTTGTCTCTCATCCACCAAGTTTTGTAGATTAACTGCAGCCATCTCAAAGTCGTGGGCCTGCTGGTGGAGACAAAAGGAAGTGTCTGGCCCTTGGCCATCCCCACTACCTTTCTCATCTCCTTTCAGCACTTTTGTTAGCTGCAGGAATTTGCCACCACCAAAAGCTCATGGCAGAGCAAAGAGATGTATCACCAAGCTGCAACCTGGCATCAGCTAAACAGTGATCCCCAGCAGTGATGCTGTCAGGGAGCTTGGACAGATGTTAGCCTCCTTAGGAGATGTATTTATCCTGAAAGAACTGATTTTGTGGATTTTTTTAAGTTTGTGGCTTTTTTTTCCCAAATGAGAAGATATCCTAGCTCAGAGGTGTTTCTTTATTTATCTTCAAGGTGGTAATTTTTCCAGACTCACCTATTTGATTGCAGGCTGTCTTGAGTATAAATGAGCAGAATTCGAGGGGTTTTGGTGCCCTTCCAAGGATGAGGAAGAGAAAAGGTGGCAGCATCAACAGGCCTTATAGGGGGTAAGCTAGGCCAGCAACCTCCACCCTCTCTGTCATCACCTGTAGACCGAAGTGGCAGCAGCAATCAGAAGAGGTGACAGTCTACCCCTTATACCAATACCTGCACTCATGTGGGCTTCAAAAAAACAGGAATTAATCCTGCCCACGCTGCTGTCCCACAGAAACAAGTAGCCAGGGACACAGCAGACAGATGCACACCACAAAGCCATCAGCCCATCACTGACCAGAGCTGTACAATTGCTTCTGCAGTGGAAGGTTTGTCTGTAAAGCAGCTTGGCTTTTTTTTGTCCCTCCTCCCCACCCCCATTTTACCTGATTTTTCAGTCTTTCTCTCTTTTTGGAAGGAACCAGCTTGGTGAATTTTGACACACCCATCAGCTCTTGTGGTGGATTGACTCTGTTCACCAGCCAAACCCCCACCCAGCTGCTCACTCAGTCCCCTCTCCCAAAGGGTGGGGAGGAAATAGAAGGAAGGTGAGAAGTATCATGGGTCCGTATGATGGCAGCTTAATAGGGAAACCAAAAGCTCCACTTGTAAGCAGAGCAGAAAGAGGAATTCATTCTCTGCTTCCCACCAGCAGGCAGATAGGCAGCCACTTTCTTTGAAGAAGGACCTCAGCACACGTGATGCTTGTTAGAGCTGAGAAATGCCCTAAGTGTGAGCATCTCCTCACCCTCCCTCTTCCCCTGAAGATTTTCCCTTCCCCTTTTATTACTTAGCTCAGTATCATAGGATGTACAATATCCTTGTGGTCTGTCTTAGTCAGTTGCCCCAACTGTGTCCCCTCCCAGCCTCTTGCCCACTCCCAGCCTTGATACTGAGCAAGCACTGCTCATCAATAGCCACAACATCAGTGTGCAACCAGCACTGTGCTAGCTACAAATCCAAAGCAACACCACACAGCCTGCTGTGGAGAACATTATCTCCAGCCCAGTCAGACCCAGTACTGCTTTCCCGTATGACAGCATTAATGCTAAAATGCCTTGTTCTCCCTGACAAAGTACCAAGGACTTTAGTTCCATTGAGAGGTCCTACTGAATTCAGGGGTGCTGAAGCAGGTTGTGAGGGATCTGCCCACCAGCAGCTCATAGAATCCTAGGATAGTTTTGGTAGGAAAAGACCTTTAAGAGCATAAAGTCCAACTGTTGGGACTTGGTCTTGGGATCTCTCTTGTGAGTGTCCCACCAATTGCCTGGATCAGCCCTGGCCAGCATCCCCCTAAAAACATGGATCCAGCTTGAAGGGCAAGAAATTGTGTTACCTGAAGAGTTTCCATGCAGATGAGACACTGAGGCCAACACACAAGATGTAAACAATTGTGATTTGTGCCAGGCCATCAAAACAAAGCTTAAGCCTGGACCCAAAGGGGACCATGGACCTTGTTGTAAAGCTCTGCATGCCCAGAGCTGTGCTCAGGGGGTCCAGCTGCTGCAGTAGCACCTGGGCCCCCCTGGGACCATGGAGAAGCACTTGTGCTAAAGTAATAAAAGCCCAGGCACTGCCTGGCTGACATTTCTCCTTTCTAGCTTGATGTGTTGCTTGGCTTTGTTGTAGAGATTGAAACCAGATTTTCTTTCCTTTCTATGAGTTACGTTAATTTGTGTTCCATCAGAACCTGCCTCTTCTTCTCAGTTGTGTGGGTTTTTTTTTTTTCCTTCCCTTTAGGCTGGATCCAGCTGCACTATGAATTCAAGGAACCACCTGCAAAATATTTTAATGACTT